CTCCTTCAAATTACAGTTCAGAAACACGCAGCTTGTTTTCTCAACATCGCCCTCTAGGGTGTGATTGTGCACAGAACCTGCATCTGCCCTGTGATGTAATGGCATCCCAGGATGCTCCCCTACTTTGGTCACCAGCTCTGTGATGAGCATCCCTCTGAGCTCCTTGTCCATCTAGAGGGCGCAGGACCTCAAGTCAAGTCAATTGTGCTTTACTGTCATACCACATACTTTACAAGAAAGGACAGAGCAGGCTTTACTTCCTTAGGAGGCTGGGGTCCTTCAATGTCTGCAGCAAACTCCTGCTTATGTTCTACCAGTCTGTCATGGCCAGTGTCCTTTTCTATGCTGTGGTATGTTGGGGAGGCAGCACTAGGAAGAGGGATGCTGGACGACTGGACAGGCTGGTGAGAAAAGCAGCTCTGTGGGGGGCATGGAGCTGGAGTCACTGACATCAGCTGCAGATAGGAGGACCCTGAGCAGATGGCTCTCAATACAGGACAATAACCATCACCCTCTGCACACCACTTTCTCCAAACAGAGGAGCATGTTCAGTGATAGGCTCCTGTCTCTGTCATGCAGAACTGACAGGCTCAGAAGGTCCTTTGTCCCTAGGGCCATACAGCTCTTCAGCATCACAGTGAAGGGAGGAGTGTGATGGACTTAAAGGTTTAGGCCTGTATAGCACACTGCCCTCCTGTTATTTTTCCCTTGTACTGTTGCAGTATGTATGTGTGCGTGAATGTCATAGGTCTTTGCGCCTATATGTATGTACAATGTGTATAAGCTACTGGACACCTAAATTTCCTTCTGGATGAATAAAGTATCTCTATCTCTATCTATCTCTATCTATCACTTATAAACACCAATCAGCCATAACATTAAAAACGTCTACCTGATATTGATGATTCGTTTGGCTTCCTATTCGTATTGACCGATTCATTTTTCTTCCTATTCGCAGTGGCCGATTCGTTTGGATTCCTATTGACAGTTACTGAATTTTTCCATGGCTGAAGTTAGCTTTCTATTCACAGTGTCGCTACAGAGGAGTGTTTCTAATGGATCATGCTGCAGTTTAAAGATAAGACATTTTGTAAATACCAAGTAAGATATGGATAAAACTTTTAAGCTGTAGAATGTATATTTGTTTCTTATAAGAATTTCACAAACCTCCCTGAATGAAATGAAATGAAAATGGTGGAATTACTCAGACATAATGTGGTATTTCCTTCATAAGAGTAAACTGGCAGTATGGCATGGAAAGCAATTGTGCGCATTGATTTGAATTGCTCAACACGTCATGTTTCCAGCTGTTTTTCAGGAATAAAACCAATATGGGCCAGGCTGATTTCAGTGTGTCTGTGCAGTGGTATATCTGTACTATGCATTTCATTAAACGAATAAGATCTCCATATTCCAGTTGGAAATTTGATGTCTTATTCAAATAAAGTGCTCAAGATGCAGATGTCGCCAGCTGTTTTTCAGGTATAAACCCTATCTGGGCCAAGTGTTTCCTTACAGTATTGTACCTGTTGTGTAGTATCCATTTCATATTTGCCTGGCCCAAGATAAACATGACCTTCGCGTTCCATTTGGACATGTGGCTTCTCATTTAAATTGCCCACCATGCCATGCTGTCAGTTTACCGTTACAAACTGCGGGGCATGTGCCACAGCAAACTCTGCCTTCTAATAAAAACAATAAGCTAAATTCAGCCATGGAATGAGATGCTAAGAATAAGAAGGCACCTGAATCGGAAGCGGCGAATACGTAGCTAACTTCAGCCTCGTCTGATATTGTGCAGCTCCCTCTTATGACACCAAAACAGCTGTGACCAGTCAAGGCATGAACTCTACAATACCTCTGAAGGTCAATAGCATCAGCAGAATATTTTGATTGGGGTGGCCGTCAGGGGCCAGTAATATTTTTGGGGGTGGCTGCACCTCACCATATTTATTCTATGGTTCCGCTTAGAAAATTAAACAATGCATATTTTGTTTTTATTATTTTGCTGTAGGGTGGTAACAGGGGTGGCCACGTCTTTACTTGGGCTGGCCTTGGCATTGAGCTTGGTGATGTGAGGCTATAAATGTCGTCCTCTTGTGCTGTTTGTCTGTGTTGTTTTGCTTCTCGTCCAGCTTAATCATTCTCCCTGTCTTTGACAGTGTTGTTGATTGTCAAATAAGTCCAACTGTTCAAAATGTGTTTGTATGATGCATCTTGATTCAGTTCCTCAAAGATTCTGCATGTGGAAATCGTGTTCAACCTATAGGTACAATATGTTGAAGGTGTTATTTATTAATTTTAGATTCCACCAAATACGAAAGCTGAGTAGTATAGGAGTATAGGAATGGGCTGCTTTTAGTAGTTCTGCTTGAGGTGTTACACAGCAGGGACTTACCCATCACCAGGGCTAAGGTCACTGAAGTAGCCAAAAAACTTTCCGGGGGTGGATGAGACTGAAAGCTCTCGATGTTGTTGGGCTGTCTTGGCTGACACGCTTCTTCAACATTGTGTGTAGGTTCAGGACGGTCCCATTGGATTGGCAGACTGGGGTGGTGGTTCCAGTCTTTAAGAAAGGGGACCGGAGGATGTGCTCCAACTTCAGGGGGATCACACTCCTCAGCTTCACTGGGAAAGTCCATGCTGGGGTACTGGAGAGAAAGGTCTGCACGTGCGTCCAACCACAGATACAGAAGGAATAATACGGATTCTGTGCTGGTTATGGAACACTGGACCGGCTCTTCACCCTCACAGGGATACGGGAGGGGTCAAGTGCATTAATCCAGCCAGTCTACATGTATTTTGTGGACCTAGAAAAGTTATATGATTGTGTACTTTGGGGATCTGGTGGGAGGGGGTATGGGGTCCATTGTTGTGAGCCATCATGTCCCTGAATAAATGGAACAAGAGCTTCGTTTGCATTGCCAGCAGTAACTAAAGATGCTTTTCCACAGCACTTTTGGTGCAGTACTTTTGGAACTTTCCCTTTTCCATTGACGTCCAGTCGAGTTCCAGTACCAGAAGTGCCAAACCGACTGGGGTACTTCTTTGGTACTTTGGGGTGGGATTTGAAATGCATTCTTTGTCGATTGCTTATGCAAATAGCCTTCCTTTGAAACACAATACAACCCCAATCTTGACAAAAGTTACAAACTCAGAAAATAATAATAAATGAAGTAAAAAAAAATTATAATAATTGCGATCTGGTTGGAAGAACATACAAAAAAGATCAAAATGCTTATAATGGCAAGAGAAACCCATATTAATATTTATGTGAGTCTGTTTACAATTTGAGTTTATCTGTGTAAGTACAACTTTTAGAAATTGGTTTGTGTTTGGTTAGCATCTCATGACTGTCAGGATTTAAACTACAACATGTTTGAGCAGGTTTTTGGGTATTTTAAGTGTTACATATATTTCAGAAAATCCAATCACTACCAGTATTTTCAAATAGGGGGCACAGGCTACTACCTGAAGCTACTAACTTGAATCTGCATGATTTTACATATTGTGCTGCTGACATTTGATTGGCTGATTAGATATTTGTTTCAGCAAGCAGTTGAATAGGTATACCTAATAAAGTGGCCAGTGAGTATATGTGCAGTTACCTCCATACCTCCTCACACAGCTGCTCATCAAAAGTGTCCATAACTACAACTACAACAAGTAATCTTTGCTCACCTACTGGAAACAGTCAATTCTGTTGCACATGTGTTGCTGGACCGAAAATCTGGGCTGCACAACCACAGTCCACCCCTCTGGACCACTTCGGCATAAGGAAAACTGAAGTATGGATTGGCCTTTAGGTAGCACTATTTATCTAGCATTTTTTGTATTTATTTTCCCATATAGATTTTTTTATTTTTATACCATGTGCATTCAACCCTGCCTTTGCTAAGGTACAGTTTGTGGCTTAGTGGTTTAGGACAAGAAATATGTGACTGGAAGGTTGCTGGTTCAAGTCAACAGAGTGATTATATTGCTGGTCCCCTGAGCAAGGCCCTTAATCCCCACAGAGTGATGTCACCATTGGGCCCCTGAGCAAGGCCCTTAACCCCACAGAGTGATGTCACCATTGGGCCCCTGAGCAAGGCCCTTAACCCCACAGAG